CACTAGAGTAAGACAATAAAATTCATATAGAGAAATGACGCGCAAATAATTAAGCACGAGAAAAAGGCATCCGAAGATTTTTCCCCTAGTAAGCGCTCGTCGAGAGATATTCAAAAGACCCACTGCCTATCACAAGGAAACGTAAAGAAACCAAACGACGGACTTACGGGTCGGCGGAAAGGTAGTAGGATTTGGCGCCGAAGGATATGGAACATGTTGGCGGGGGTTGTGCAGTTGGCCAGTATCCAGTTACTGTCGTGGAGTGACTGCATAGTGAAATCAGGCCCAAACATCTGCAGAAAACAGAAGATCATATATGAGGGTGAAAAAGAAGGGCAGAGGAGAAAAAAACGCATTCAGAAGGCAGACTTCGGAAAAATAACAGCACCCGTAACTAGGCCTCCGCTGCCTCACTCACAAGTGATCTGGGTCGGGTGTGACCGCCGTTTTAAGTTCTGGCAACAATAAACTCGAGCTGAGAGAACTACTGATCACCGCGCCCCCCTGAGTGGCCTATCGCCTGCTGTCATAGACTGAAGTTGACCCAACGTGTGTGCCGTGCACACTTTCTTGTGTACAATGGAGGAGCCTGGGTTGACGAGCTGCCCCATCTATAAGCATTTCAGCGAGTCACTAATAGAACATTTGTTTCGATTGACGAGCTTCTTCTCACTTCACGAGCTGTCAGCGCGTATAAATCGGCTTCACGGATGTCCGCCGTTGAGTCTAGCTCCCAGGGCATGAGTCCTCGGTCGCCTGCAGCCAATCAGTGAACTGATAAAGTTTGATTGACAACCTTTCGCAAGAAGAGCGTTTCACATGATGAGCTCGGTGCCGGAACGGACGAAAATCGTTAACCGAGGCCCCCATCCACACTAACCCAGACAAGCTGATAGACTAGTACGATGTATAGACAGTCATGGTTTGGGAGGTTGCCAACTGCCAGAATGACTTGATCTTCCTGGTTCAGAAAGAGGCTAGTTCAGAAAAAGGCTTTTATTTACACTCACTGTTTGCATGAAAAAAACCCAGTTCGCGTGCCTTGCGTTGGTGAATATCATTAACGCGGCGCATACAGGTACCGGCGCCATGGAGACAGCTGTTCCAGGCAGTCCACAAAAAGTGCGCTTTACATGGCGCGTGCTAGGTACAGTAATCGCCGGTTATTAAGCCCACCTCGGGCCCAG